GGAACCCTTTAATGTTTCGGCAAGGGTTCTCCCGCCCCTTTGTTTCACTTTTCGGGGGTGTATTTAATATCGCCGAAGTCATTCCGATCGTCCTCGTGTTCCATAACCTGGGCAACGTTTCGACAATGGGCCATAATCGATGGATATTTTTTCGCTTTTTCGGGAAATCCCACTTTTTTCATTTGGGTATAATTTTACTTCCTTTCCCGTGTTATTGTTCGTATATTTGAGCATTTTTACTTCTCCGTGCTAGTTTTTCAATTCAGTGAAACCTTTTTTTACTTCTATGTAACTCTTCCATGTCATTTTTTTTTCGCGGTCTTTTTTACTTTTGCGCTACGCGGCTCATTTTCTTGACCGATTTTCCGAATTAATTTTTAAGTTCAGTTTTTTACTTTTTCGCGGTCTTTTTCGGTTGTGACATTTTTTATTATTTTTTTTTTATTTTACGTGACATTTTCTACTTTTCTCAGATTCCGCACGATTTTCGGCATCACCACACTACCTTGCCACAGAAATTTTTACTTTTTCCTAGCAGGTGATCATAATGTCCCCCCCATCCTTTAACTTTTTTATTTAACGTAAAATAAAACAATATTCTAGAATTTATAACTTCTTAGGTGGCTGTGAAGTGGGTAGTCACCAAAAAACAAAATGTTCTGTTTATTACTGACAGTGACAGTTATCGGTTACAGATTTGGCAAAAAAAAAATTCTTATGAAGTGCCTTAATCTGAAAGAGAAAACCAATTAGTTTTAGAAACATTTGTTAAAGCAAATAAGAGGCTCAAATTGGTCAATTGTAATAGAACCCGGATTGCAGAAATAAAATTTGAACAAAAACCCAACATTTGCGTAACAAAAATATCGGAAATCTCAAACGAGGAGTTTATTGATGAAATAAATACATCGTACCGGACGATTCGAACCACTCTCGATAAAGGAGGACACAAGACATTCAAAATTAGGTCTACGACGAAATTAAAGCCCAGCCATCGAGAAAAAAGGGTTGTTTTGCAGTAAATCTTCATTGCTACTGGGAATTTAAATTTCAAGGACGTCAAACTCATTTCTTCGACTTTCCTTCAAACGATAATGGTTATCTAAATTTTCTCCCCGACGAATTCTCTCAACAAGATGGAGGTCGCTTTTTTAAATCAAAGGTTTAATGAATGGCCACCCAACAGTCCTGACCTGACGCCGATGGATGCATTTTTTGATTGAAACAGAAGTTCAAATTCTAAATGAAGAATGTTCCAAATGGGGAAGCAGTTGAAAAATTCCATTTGTTTTGGTAAATTTTTAATATATAATAATAATAATGGTATAATAAATTATATTTATTTATTCTGAGACCTAAGCGGAGTCGATATTTTTGTCACTGAGTATCCCATTCGGTAATATAAGTAAATTGGACATCACAAATGCTTAATAATTTATTATGAAATACATTTCGTTATTAAGTAATGATAGATAGCACTCTACAATTACAAGATATTATTTATTTATTTTTTTTGACAGTTGACAATTGAGCAGTCCCAATACTATGATTTATTTTTCTTTTAATTTTCCGCGATCACTTGTATGGTGTAGGTCTTATTTTTTTCCTTATGCTACATTTATTATTTTGTATTTCCTTGTCCGTTTTTTCGCGATCTGGATCGTTTCGATCGTTTTTCCGATTAATAAAATAAAACCTTCAATTCCCAACAACAACGACGACGGTCCGGATATGACGCCTGCTCCTAAAAGGATTTCGTCCGCCCCACCCCCGCCAGCACGTAATCGGTTTATATCGGTGCCGACAAGAGTATCTTTCGACAAAAACCCCGTAGTAGCGATTGATTCCGCCCCCTTTCGTCGTCGCCGTGTTCTGTCTTAAGCCCGCGGAGCGTGAACGCTGGCGGAAAACGGAGTTTACCGCTTGTAATCCTACTTTACGAAAGTTGGTCGCGCGAACGGGCGAAAAAAAAAATAAACGCAACGACGACGATGTCGGGGATTTAATCCCGACGGTTTATTAATTTGTCATCGGACGCTCGGCCGCGTTGCCGGCTGCGACGGAATCTCCCTAAAACTTTCGTATTACGTTTTCCCGCTTAATTGTCCCTTTTGGCTCAATTCTTTCACATTGCCGCACGCCAGGGATTTTATAAGCGGTTCAGATTCACGTTTTTTTCAAGTTGTGCTTAATTTTCAGTTTTTCGATATACATATCAATTTCCGGAGTCGTTTTTCATTTTTTTTTGTCTTCCCCACACGATTGTACACGTTTTTTGTTTTCCGCATAATTCTTATCTTTCTTCCTCATTTTTTAAGTTTCGGTGTCATTTTGTACTTTCCCGTTTTACGATTTCCACGATTATTTTTCGGTTTCCCCATGTGACTTCTTACTTTGCCGAGTGTTTATTCTATTTTGTATGTTTTTTTTTCTTCAATGCTCGCTTTAATTTATCGCACGAAGCGACAACGTCGCCCTCGCTCCGATCTTTTCCCCAGCGGCATCGTATCAATATTTATTTCTCTTTTAACGTTCTTTTACGATCGCAGCTGTTTAATTTCTCATCTATTAATTCGCTAATTACAAAAAGTGCTGCTGGTAGTGTATAACCCACACAACAGTTTGTAGTTTATTGTTTTTATTGGTCGGCCCCGCGGCGCAACGATCGCGATGATTAACGACCGACGAGATTTCGTTTCTTCACCCCCCCCCCCCTTCATCCACCATACCTGTTATACCGTTAATTTAAAAAAACAAAAAAAGAAAAAATTCAACAAAAAACTTAACGTTAATATTTCTTTCGCCCTTTATGGTTAGAAGCGTTGGCCTAGAGTGTGAACCCTATTGGCAAATTAAAAAATATACATTAAGTGTCGATATTTTAAGAACTACGTTTCTATTAAGTAGTTAAGCATAGTTAATTTGCCGCATTGGAAAATACAGCGTTGCCACGTCTACCCGAAATCAGAGCATATTGGAATTTTAAACAAAACACATATCGCTGCGAGTACTGGGTTTTAAGCTATTGATTTAGACGGATCACAAAAATATTTAGTTTGGGGGGGCGCCCTGGAGCACCTCAAAAATTTGCTAACCAAAATTTTTTTTTTTCGTTATTATAATTATAAATTCTGGTTATTCGTAGATTTTCAGCCCTTTGCGTAATACCAGTGCCACAATGGGCCGCTTAAAAAATCTAAAAAAAGCTATTCCATATTATTACAACCGAATCATAATTAATTTATTGAAAGTGTTTTTTGGATAACTCCCATAACAGATAACAGTATGCAAAAAGTGTGTTGTTATATTAGTAACTATTTTTGGGTGGGTAGGGGTAAAAAACGATAGTAAAAAAAGTGAAACAGTGTGTTGTTATATTACTAATCCCTCCATAAAATTTTAGTGTCCCTCCTTTTCTTTTTATGATAAAAAATGAAAGCTTTATAATTTTTGTTGGCTTCTTCAGAGCTTGTGTGCTTGTATATTCTTTGAAGGAGAGAGAGAGCTAAATAAGGAATGATCGTTGCCGCGTTTGATTGATTCCCATATTGGTGAAAGATAAAGATCTGAGTCGCGGTTAAGATTATTTGGTTACTTGCAGATTACACGCAACAATTTTAGTTTTATCAAATAAAATTCCGGTATCAAGTGTGGGGTCGCTTTCGAACTCATTGTCTTTGGGAGGTTGTGGTGAAGTGTATTTGGTGATGGAATGCTTAATATCTCTAAAGTTTGTTGTTTTTATGATGTGTAATTAGTATAATTTTTTTTTTTTTTTATTAAGAAACCAACGCCTTAAATACGTTTTGAAACACCTTGTACATTTTAACATGGGTCCATTAACACATTTAAAGCGGGCCGAAGTCGAAGGGCTCGTCGGGCTCTTTTCTCTCACGTTTCGATTTTTTTCCAGCGCCGCCTCAAAAGCAATAAAAGCGGGGAAAATTATCGGAAAAATGACGTGATTAAACGGTATTCGGGTGACCCCTCGCGGCTCCGAACGACGTACCAGATACAATCAATTACCGATATAGAAAAAAATCCGTGTTTTTTTTTTTAATATATTTTCCCCGATCACGTGAATCACGATTCCTATTATATCTTCGATTCGCGTGTCTCCGGCGCCCACCCTCCGTTTTATTGCTCGCTTCTTTTGTCCCCCCGACCCCACACTCCCCATTACCCCTCGCGTTCCCTCCTCCGTTTTAATGCCTTTCGACAACAATATTCAATAAAAGTTGCCGCGAAAAATGCCAAATTATCTTCGATATCGACGCGGGGAGGGGGCGTAGCGGGGATACTAGTCGACGCGTAACAAAAAAATTCGTTCATTTCTTGTTTTACCAGCGGAGTATTGCAAGGATCGATACTGGGCCCACTATCACTTCCGTTATTCATAAATGACAGAACAAAACATCAAACATTCGAACAGGAAAATAAAGAGGAAGAAAGAAAGAAAGAAGTTTGTTAAATTTTTAAGTTAAGAAAGTGTGTTTACATAACTAAGAAAAGTATTTTCCTTTGAATATGAAATGATTGTGTTCACTATTAACTCAGACGCAGCTAGGAGGAATTATTGTATCAGAACACAACTCATAAGAAGCATAACAGCGCCGTAACACCAAAACTCCAAAAACTGAACCATACAAAGCATCTGCGATATATATGACGCAAAAAAAAGCCATCAGCTCTGTATTTAAGAATCAGACTCTGGTGTTGGTCCTGAGAAAACGAAGATTTTATTTTTTCAAATTTAAAAATTCGCCATTTTATTTCTGTTCAGAAGTTGCAACGAAGAAATGTTTCCAAGACCAAAATCTTACATAATACATTTTTTAATTGTCCGTTGTAGCTCAAAAACAATAGGTGCGTCTCGTATCTACAATAATACATGAGTCTCTCCAAAGTACGCATCACAATTAGATCTGATCTGTACATATGTAGCCCATGTGTTAAATCGGTTTTGGTTTAGTGTTTTCTCTCGGTGACGTCCGACTTACCTCTTTATCTTTGGTAGCGATTTCGTTCTCGAAGGCCTGATGCCTGTCCATGTTCGATGTGTCTTTGTTTTCGCAGTTGATCGTGGCCGGGTTGTTCGATAGTTGTTCTTTGAGCGTCGTCACTTCCTTTTCTGCCAGCGTCGCCCGCTGAAAGCGAAAAATGCAGAGGTTGAATCATTTTTAAGCCTCTCGGAGTGTGCGCAATTGTGAAGAAAGCTATACCCAAAACCTAAATGTTTCCAATCCAACTTTCAAAATAATATTATTAATATTATATTATATTTGTTTTAAATTTTTGTTTTCACTTTGGCTGGGTTCTAATCGTGGCCCTTGTTCGAATGGCAGACAAATTTAATAAAAGATATTTTTATATTATTTTTCCATTTTTAAGCCTGTTAAGCCTGTAAGCGACAACGATTTAACGACGTTGCCGCTTCTTCGAAAAAGAAGAATTAATTTTGATCATCAATTTCTGGTTATATTTGTATACCTTCCCATATCTATTTGGAGCGGCTGACAAGAAATTACAGTACAACCTTCGTATTCGTATTTGCCAATGGAATGGGGGCCAAAATGTTTCTAATATCTTTCAATTCTTTATTGCGAAATTTTCCTCAAGTGACTCCAGTTTAGATCGAGTTCGCTGTTTAAAACTGCAATTCGAAATAAATCGACGAATCAGCTCTCGAAGAAACGCGTCAAGTATAAACCAGCCTTTACGGATTAAAAATCGTATTGTTATGAGGTTAGGTTTTACGCGATCTTCGCATCGCGGTCGGCTCGTCCGAGCGATTCGTATGCGCGTTTCGGCGGCGAAGACGCGCGAGGCTGAAACCCCCAGAATCCGAAAAATTACAACCCATTCTCGCATCGAAAATTTATTGTGTAAGGGCTACCCACACGCGAGCGTGGTCCCTTTCAATGGGCCACCTTTTAACGAAAACGCGGGCCCATTGTAGTCTGGGGCAGCAGAGTAGCCGGTTTAGTCGTTACGTCCTTGTCAGACGCACGCCGCTAGACGTTTACCGTAGGCGTTTCGACTCGGAATGAAATTATGTTATGATTCAGAACGATCAGGCGGGCGTGGCCGCGCGACGACGAGACTTTTGACTGCGGCTGACTTATACGTAATTTCTGAATAATCTGAATATGAAAATCGAACGCTTTTTGTTTCCGCCCGTTTTGTATTTTAAAGTTCATTGTGTTCGCGGCGGGATGTGGGCGGATGCGCGCGGTCTGGTGTACCCGAAGAATACCCCATGACGACGGTCGCTGATTTTAGTAAATTCAACCCGCCGCAGCCGGAAAAATAGTAGTCAACTATCGTAAATTTGCGTGATTTAGGATTGTTTAACAAAAAAAATAGTGACTTTAAGGAAACGTTGTTTTACTGAAGTCTCTTGAAAGCAAAAAAAAGTATTTTCTTAGGTAGTTATTTTGTTTTGTTTTGCGTGGTGTTTTGATTATTTTTTTAGATACATTTTTTTGGTAATTTATTCTTACAATATACCTAACACATTTTTCTATTTTTTTATGACCTTCCATAACCTGCCTCAATCTTCGTCGTGTTATTGTCATTGGGTAAAGTCATTAACAAAAAAATTATTCTCGAGTGACAAGGCAGAGTTGGGCCATGTATGTTTCTTTCTTTCTGATATATTTCTTGAATGTTGATCATTTGTGGTGGTACAGATTGTGAAAAATGTTCGGTCAGAAGATGGATTTGTCCTAAAGTGCTTGCTGTTGTCTGCAAAGAATATTAAGGATTCTAGCTTGGATTGTCATGAGTTTAAGTTTTCCATTGCATGGATTTTTTTTCTAAAGAATATCTTATCTTGCATACCTTGCACAGTTTTATAAAAAAAAAATTAAAACATTACTTAACAATTTTTCGACGCTTTAATAGGTTTGCGGCACACGGCGCGCCTGCCTTCCGCGGGGGAAGCGTGGGGGGGGGAAGCTAATAATAAACCTAGCAGGTATTTGGAGGGCTACAATTAACGGAAATGCGGGAGAGAGGGAAGTTTCAATATCCCGCATTCCATCGTTAAGTATGGCACTTTCGCGTTGTTTTTCTTTCGCCAGTCCGTCTGTCTGATTGGAACGCGAAAAAACGCAACTAACCTGGTCCTCGTCGCCGTCGTCATGGTGACATGAGTGACGGAAAATTAAAAATGTTCTACGAGTCGCAGTTTCCATTTTGGTTCCTTATGAAAACACATTAAAATGTCTCCCATTGTATTGGTACTAAAACAATGAATTTTTTAATTTTTCATTTCTGAGATTGGTTATTGTTTGTTCTAATTTTTGAGGATTTACAGTCGTTTACAGTGACATTGCTATTGCCGCCTGGACGAGTCACGTGTTTCTTTGCGAATTTTTGAGGATTTACAGTGGTTTATGATGAATTACATTTACGTGAAGGAACCCGCCGTAAATTATTGAAATTAATGGTATTTACACAGAGATTTATAAGGATTTATTTATTTCCGTTAAAATTCGAAAATAAGGATATAAATATTTGGTAGAAAATCGTATATCAATGAATTCCATTCAATTCTTGAGTTTGGCGGGGAGGCGGGGAGCAAAAACGTTTTGATCGCTCAAACGGGGTGCCGTAAATCACACCCCGTAACGGGACAGCGGCAAATCGACCTCTTTGACCCCCGGCGAACTAGTCCGGTGACTCATAATCAAACCAATATATACAAAAAAAAACAGCCTCGACAAACCGAAACCTGAACTCACCCCTTGAAACCATTCTTACATATGGTCAGTATGCAAATCGGCACGATACAATCGCTTATAGCTGCGCTCTATAGAACTGTTATACAGACGAAACGGACAGGGCCGTACCGAACATTTTTTTAGGAACAATTTCACATTATCTACTTGTTTACTTTTGTTTGGAGTCTCTTGATTAACAATGAATTATCAGTAGAAGCAATGGCCCTGTTTAATCCTAAATTCGGATTTAGTGTCGATAGATAGCCGTCCAGGTTTTAACTAAAAACGTTTCTCTACTCATCTATAGATGGCAGCACAGATAAAATAATTTTCAGATGACCAACCAAACAATTTCAATTTATTTTCACCATTCGTAACGGGCACCACCGCACAAGGGAAGTATAAAAAGTGTGGAAAAATTCTCGCCCAAGATGTGGGTACAAAATGTGTAGGTGGAAAATTATCCAAAGAAAGGCCAGAAGAAAAGGAAAAATAATTTCTTAAAGACGTTTAAAAAAATTATTGTGAAGGCTTGAAAGGCTAAAACATGGTTGATAAGCGCATACTTGGGTAGTTCAGAGTAGGTAGTAAGGATTTTCCTCTTGAATAATTACTTAATTTTAAATTGAGAGCAAACCACCAAGTGTGATAATAAATATTGTATTATTTTCGCAATGTCGAATAATAGCCCATCGGCGTTGCAGAGGATATATCCTGAATCCATGCACCGCGGCCCCCTTACGCACGAGAGGGCGCAAAAACTCACCCCTCTAAGACAATGCCGTCTATATTTGAATATTTGATAGTGATTTATGTAGTTTGTTCGGTCGGGGTATCTAAATCCCGTAGAGAGAGCGCGCGTATGATATTCACCCTAAGGGGGCTGAGGGGGGAGGATCGTGTGAGGATATTGAGTTACTTTTGGGTTTGCATATGCGGAATATTTAATAACCCGGAAGGAGACGGAGTCCTATAAATCATCCGATCGCGACGCGCCAACCCTTAAAACGACGGGACGCCACTGTATTTTTTAAAAACCATTTCGACGTGTCGGTCGGCATTAAGACATCGCCGGATGGCCATCGTAGCCGTTGCCGATCGAGCGTTATATTTTTCTGATGGGGGAGGGGGTGTAATACGCGTAGTCGCTGGCGTCGGATTTTCTCATCTTTCCACCGGGTGAATTATACCCCCATTCGGGCGCGCACCTTCCCGCGAACCGCACGGGGCAATATCTCAACTTTATTATAAAAACAATGGCTTTGGCGCCCCATTCTCTCGTATCCCTCAACTTTTTCGATCGCTGCGCGCAGTGGCGTCCGTAAATGCGAACGCAGAACGGTTAGAACGAGAAACGAGCTTGCCTAATATTCGGACGTCCCGTATAATATAACACCCACGACTCGATGCGTCTACCTTGTATATTAAAGAATAAAAAAATAAGTAAAAAAATTATTTTAACCTGCATATTTATGGGATGCTTCCAGTTCAAAAGTTCAAAATAAAATAAAAATATATATATATATATATATATATATATATATATATATATATATATATATATATATATATATAGTAATGTAAGCAAATAGATTTGCTTATTATACAAATACCCTTATGTGTTGTGTCTTCGAAGCTGAGCTCAGTATAATATGAAACAAAGAAAAAAAATGAATGGACGAATGAGGTAAGAAAATATAAACAATTAGGCACACACTCTATATAATAAAAAAGCTCAAATATGCTACATAAAATTAATAAATAATGAGTAGGATAAGCAAACATCATTATATATAAAAATTGTAGAGGTCCAAAGCTTACCTGAATTACCTTACATGTTATTAATTATAATTTAATATAATTAATAATTAATTCGCAGATACTGCCGTGATACAGGTTATAGCTTACCTTTTTCCTATGCATAATTTGTTTTTAGTTTACCTCAAAATAAATTTTTGAAAAGAAAGTAAGAGAGAGAGAGAGAGAGAGAGAGAGAGAGAGAGAGAGAGAGAGAGAGAGAGAGAGAGAGAGAGAGAGAGAGAGAGAGAGAGAGAGAGAGAGAGAGAGAGAGAGAGAGACAGAGAGAAAGGAGAATGAGGTGTTTCGACACGCGCGCCCCTGGTTTTGCGCGGGAGCCCACCTTATTATTAATAAAAGCGGGGAGTAACGGCGTCGGCGGCGTCGGCGTATATGCACGGGGGGCCATATATTTTGATTTTTAATTCGGGCCTTGGAACCGGGGATACTTTACCGCTCTGATATTCAGCCAATAATAATGATCTTATATCTCTTTTTCGCGGGAGACGGCGCCTCCCGCCACCCCCGCCTAATCAGTTATTTAAATTTTATGACTTTTTCGGGGAGCGAAACGCGCACTCGTATTACACGCGCCGCGCTTATTGCTTTCCGGGGGACGTAAG